GGGGCGGGAAATGGATGCTCTGAGAAGGGGGCCCGGAGCTTGCCAGGGAAGGCGGCAGGGAGCCCAGGGGGCCTCTGGAGAAAGCAGGGGGAGGGAGGGCGGGGCAGAGAGAGGAAATGAAAAAGCAGGGGCGAGCAGGCAAGATGAGGAGGGAGGGAAGGAAGGAGGGAAGGAGAAGCTGACACAGGAGACTGACACAGCCAGCGAGGGACACACGCTGAGCGAGCCCGCAGGGGAGGACAGAAGAGAGAGAGACGGGGACTGGAGAGGTGCGGAAGGAGAGGCTGGGGAAGCTGACCTGCAGAGGAGGTGACAGAGGGGTGAATGACAGAGGGACAGAGACGGTGAGACAGCAGGAGACAGACAGGAACAGAGAGGGAAAGACCAGGGAAGCCCTCCCAAAGGGGGAAGGACAGAGACAGAGACTGCGAGAGGAGAGAAACGGGAGGGGTGGGTGAGGAGGGGAGAGAAAGGGGAGGGGAGACCGGCACGCGAGAACTGGGGGTTGGCTGGGAGAGCCCCCTGCTGCCACAAGGAACGTGGCCAGCGGGGGCGGTGGGCGTCTGCACGGGCTGCAGGCCGGGCCCTCCAGCTCCCACCCTTGGCGCCCTCCAGCCCAGGCCACTGGCGGAGGCGGGGCATGGCCGACTCCTGCCGGAACCTCACTTACGTGCGCGGCTCCGTGGGGCCGGCCACCAGCACCCTGATGTTCGTGGCCGGCGTGGTGGGCAACGGGCTGGCTCTGGGCATCCTGGGAGCCCGGCGGCCGGCGCGCGCGTCGGCCTTCGCGGTGCTGGTGACCGGGCTGGCGGTGACCGACCTGCTGGGCACGTGCTTCCTGAGCCCCGCCGTGTTCGTGGCCTACGCCCGCAACAGCTCGCTGCTCGGCCTGGCCCGGGGCAGCCCCGCGCTGTGCGACGCCTTCGCCTTCGCCATGACCTTCTTCGGCCTGGCGTCCACGCTCATCCTCTGCGCCATGGCGGTGGAGCGCTGCCTGGCGCTCAGCCACCCCTACCAGTACGCGCCGCTGGACGCGCCGCGCTGCGCCCGCCTGGCGCTGCCCGCCCTCTACTTCTGCCCCGTCTTCTGCGCGCTGCCCCTGCTGGGCGTCGGCCAGCACCAGCAGTACTGCCCGGGCAGCTGGTGCTTCATCCGCATGCGCGCCGCCGAGCCGGCCGGCCGCGCCTTCTCGCTGACCTACGCCAGCCTCGTGGCCCTGCTGGTGGCCGCCATCGTCCTCTGCAACGGCTCCGTCACCCTCAGCCTCTGCCGCATGTACCGCCAACAGAGGCGCCACCAGAGCTCGCTGGTCCCCGGCCCCCGGGCTGGCGAGGACGAGGTGGACCACCTGATCCTGCTGGCGCTCATGACGGGCATCATGGCCGTGTGCTCCCTGCCGCTCACGGTGAGTGCCCTCTGGAGCGGGGGTGTGGGGTGCTGGTCTCACAGATGGAGAAACTGAGGCTCAAAAGAGGGCCGAGGCTCTGCGCGCTGGGCAGTAAATCTCCAGGTGCTGGAGGAGTCTCTGGGCATTTGACTGCTCTGGGGTCTCTGTCTTCCCCCATGGCATCGCCGGCACCCCCATCTAAGGCACCCCTTCCTCTCCCCTGTGATAGGGAGAGCCCACCGTTCACTGCAGACCGCGGCCTGCACTGAGGGCTCACACGTGCCGGCTCAGGTGGTCTTCCAACCCACCGCGCCCCCCAGCCAAGGTCCTGTCCCTCCCACTCCACAGAAAAGGGGCGCCGGGGTCTTGACCCTGGTCCTCTGGCTCCAGAGCCTGACCTCCCACCCACTGTGCTCCGCACTCCCCCAGCCCAGCACCCCCCATGCTCAGCCCAGCCTGTTTCCCGTAGGGCTAGTCCCGCCCTGAGGGGACCCACCCAGGTCTGTGAGCCCCCTCACGGCATGGTTATTCCGGGCCTCAGCTTCTCCTGTAAAATGCAAGGGCTAGGCTGGGTGTAGGGGTCTTTAAGTCTTTTGGGGGTTCTGATGACTCCTTGGAGGTCGGGAGCTGTGGATATACGCATGGGCACAACCTCAGCTCTGTGCCTGGTTTCAGGGGGCCCGGAGATGTGGGCTCAAAAATAGGCAGCCCGAGGATCCTCCCAGCTGGGAAGGGCGGGAAGCCATGTACCCAGCCCCCCTCTCTGCCATTAGGCGTCTGCGGGGGTGTCTGGGGCTTTCTGGCTCTGCTCCCGGGATGCATCTATCGGACACTTAGCTTCATCTTATTTCCTTCCCTTTCTGAGGTGCCACCCCTCCCTCATCTCTGCCGGGGAGCAAGCGGGAGGGGGGGAGGACCCATGGGTGCTTCCTGACGCCCTCTCCTTGCCCTCAGATCCGCGGATTCACTCAGGCCATCACCCCGGACAGCAGCGAGATGGGGGACCTGCTGGCCTTCCGCTTCAACGCCTTCAACCCCATCCTGGACCCCTGGGTGTTCATCCTTTTCCGCAAAGCCGTCTTCCAGCGCCTCAAGCTCTGGTGCTGCCGCCTGTGCCCCGCGCCTGCCCACGGCGGCGTGCACACACCCCTGTCCCAGCCTGCCTCGGGGAGGGACCCAAGGACGCCCCCTGCTCTCGGGCCGAAGGACGGCAGCTGGGTGCCGCTGTCAGCCTGGGGGGAGGGGCAGGCGGGCGGCAGCATGGCAGGAACGGGGTCCAAAGCTGAGGCCGCCGGCTCCTGCTCTCTTTGCTGACACCCCGAGGCCTGTGAACATGGAACATGGCTGCCAGCCGCCAGGACCAGGACCTTGGCCCCTGAAGTTTGGGGGCGATCAGCTGCTAGTTCTCCTCCTCCAGGGAGGCCGCTGCAGGCCCAGGGAGGAGAGTGAGGGACAGAGGGGACGTTTCTCCTGCAGCACCAAAGAAGTCGTTCTCTCAAAATAACCCGTGGCCCGGCCAGCCGCTCTGCCCTCCACTCCCATCCATCTCACTGTCCAAATATTTAGAAGGTGGAGGAGTTCCCAGGGGCTTCTGTGCTCGGGTTCCAGCTCTCATGCTCCTCTATTCGGGGGCCCCGACTGCCCACCCGCATCCCCAGGGACAGGCTGCCCTCTCCCAAGTCACTTCCAGAGCCACCCACCCCCACTCCGCCTCCTTACAGGCA